GCTTGATGACAAACCCTCCGGACCTGACGCCGCCACCATCGTCATTGCCATACCTTCCTCGCCTGTCCAGACTTGATAACATCGTCTCCGGAAAACCCATCGCGAGCAATGGCGACAACGCGTCAGGCAGATGGGGGGAGAAGCCATGTTGGCGAAGGCCGACATGTCCGCGACCACCGCTGACAACGAGGAAAAGTAGATCGTTGGAGACTGCTGCCGCTTGGATCCCACGAAGGCCACCACCACCGCGTCGTCGGGTTACACAACTGGTGTATTGCCCGGTGAGCGAGGCTGTAGACCACGGTGTCCGTCTTCCCCTGCCCAAAAACCAATCCTAACCCGTACTTCACAGAAGCAGAGGGAGGCTACTGCCCCGCCCAAAAATCATTTGATTTGTATGTAATTCCTCCGGTTTGTTTAAAACTGATTTAAAATGTATGCGAATAACGTTGGATGACCGGCTCCCGTATCCATGTTCACGGATTGGTTTCCTGTTTGTGACGAATGCGGTGTCCGTTTTGCAGGCCAGTACAACATATCTAGCAGACCCCGCATAACGCCACGACCCGCAAAATAACCGCCAAAATATGGGTCGGCGCAGAAAATCCTTCCCGACCAGACACTGCAAACGCGTTCGAACCGTAAATTTTTTTGCGGGGCGCGGCAAAAGATCTCCCTCAACCTTTAGATTCACAGGGTGGGAGGGTGACTTGAGCTCGGCCCCTATTCAAAGCGAGATTTGGCGCGAGGGAAATTTCTGCGCGACCGTTCCCGCTCTCCCACCCCTCTGCCACCATTGCCCCCGCCCCCGCCCGCTTCGGTGCATCTTCCCCGGCAGTTCTTTGCTGCCATAGATGACACCCTGCCGTCCCCCGTCATCGTTGAGGTCGCGCACACTCAATCCCCTCTGGCGGATTTCATCGTCGGCCATGTTGGCCGCGCCATCGCCCAAGGCACCACTGCGCCCGCCCGCAAGCGGCAGGGCAACGCGGTCATGCAGGGTGGGAATCTGGCTGGCCCCGCCGGGAAGGCCCACGCTCCGGGCGCCAATGCCGCTGCGCGATCCCGACAGGCGGCGGAGAAGGTCGGCAAGGTCTCAGGCGTAAAGCAGAAGAGGATTCCGGCTACAAAGAGGACGACTCCTTCATCCACTCCCTCTGCCCCGGCTAGAGGTTCCTCGGCGATGTCGTTCAATGGCGCTGCTTCCACCGCTAGCGAGGTGTTTGACGAAATGGTCGGAAGGTATGCCTCTTCGGTCCCTTCATTTTCTTTGCTTTTCGCCATTGCGGTAGCTCGTCACTTGTTGTCGCTAACTATAGCGGTGGTTCAAACAATGCCACTTCCGAGTTCGTGAACTTGTTGGACACCAAGCTGTTGACATCGATCAAGCCCCGTTCGTTGCATTCGATTACAATAAAACGGAGGGCGGCGTGGATGATCACGATGGTGAAGAAGAAGTGGAGGAGATAGATGAGGGGGCGTATGAGCAATCGCAAGCAAGAAAAAGCCAGAGATCGAAGAACTACACGATCTTGGAAGATCAAATGTTGATCAAGGCGTGGAGTGCGGCATATCTTGATGCTTGCACGGGTACTTCTCAAATTGCCAAGAGGTATTGGCAAAGGACCGAAGATCAATACTTCCGCATGATGGCAAGTATCCCAATAGGACTCCACGCACCTTTCGGTCACTCCAAGGTCGTTGGGATGTGATCAAGCCGATTTGTAGCCGTTGGGTTGCTTGCTTGGAACAAGTTCGCAATGCCCCCGAGTAGAACCGTGGAATCCATCTATGTGAGTTCACGTTCCAAGTGATGCAAATCATTTGTAGCATCTAAGTTATTGCATAATTTGACATTGTTTTAATCGTGTAGGACAAAATTGCCCAACAAAGATACAAAGACATGGAAGCTTCGGAAGGCAAATTCTTCAAACTAGAGCGTTGTTGGGACTTGCTCAAAGAGTGCGAGAAGTGGAAGTTGATTGGCAAAGAATCCCCACCGAAGAGAGATTCACTTAAGAACATGGATAAAGATGAGGATGATGATGGCCCAAGAAATTTGAACAAGCCCGATGATGACAAGAAGACCGAGGAGAAGATGAAGAGAGAGCACGAAGCATCGAGTTTGCGGGACAAGATTGATGCCATGGTACAATCAGATGAGTTGATGTTAGCGAAGACGTTGGAGATAAAGAAAAAGTTGGCCGAGAAGAAGGCACGCGAGAAGCAAGAAAAATGGCAATTGCTCAAGGACGAGGGGCTGCGCAAAGCGGCCATTGAGGAGAAAAGAGCACGTGCCGCTGAAAACGAAGCCATGTCCTAGTTGCTTGCTGAAGAGAACAAGATCATGACATTGAACCGCAATGACATGGACGAGCTCACCAAAGAATGACATGATATGGCAAGAAGAGATATCTTGAAGAGGAGAATGCTTGCGTCGGCTAGTGCATGTTACAATGCCGGAGATGTTTTCTCGACGGGGTTTGGAACCAATGTCGCCGATGCGTTCAGTGCACCAGCCGATGATTTCGGTGCCGGAGTTGGAACAAGCGCCGGAGGTGGACTCGGTGGTTTCGATGACCTCAATGGACTCGGTGGCGAGGAGTGAAGATCTACCAAGATAATGCCGGACGTGGTCGTCACTTTTGCAAGACCCCCTCTTGAGTTTGTCATACAAAACTAAGCTTTTATTTGTGTGTGAACTGTGTTCTATTGTTTGAATTTGAACTCATCTGTCAGAATCGATGTTAAATTCGATAATTGAGCGTCTTCGGTTTGCGGGTCGATGCGGCGGCGCCCGAGCAGACCCCGCGTAGCCGACCCGTAAAAGAGCATATTCACCGAATATCCTTTTTTACTGGTCCGTTTTACGGGGTCCGAGTCTGACCTCGCCCGCGTCGGCCCGCATATATCCTTTTTCGTAAACTGTAAAAATCTTAAGCGGGTCCGCGTTTTACTGGGTATGCTAGAGTTGCTCTTAAATCGATCCGAATTCCGTTCAGGGAGCCGACAGAAGACGCCTGGTGCGCGTAGCTCTAGCTCCTGCATTCTCCCTGTCAGCCACAGGAGTTTGCGACTGTTCCTGTCCCGTTTGGTCACAAAGCACCTAACCAGAAGTATGACTGGTGGACCCAGGAGTCTGGGGTTGGACGCAGACAGCAGCAGTTGGTTCGACCCGACTGACTGGCAGCACGAGCACAAGGAGAGCAGGGGAGGGGAGCCATCCATCCCGAAAACCCCCAAAAGTCCCGCGTGAGCAGCGCCCCACCCCGGAGCGGGAGCGGCGGCCGACGGCTCGTCCCCAGGTTCGCCCGCCGCCAATCCCTCGCTTCTCCCTCTCCAGCGTGTTCCTCCGCTGGTTTCGTGCTGACTTCTTCCACCCCCGATGCGGTTCCGCGGGTTTCGCCCGAGAACAAGCAGCCCGTGGCAGTTTCGGTTTTGCTGTGGGCGGGGGATTAGGGTTTTCCTCGGTTTCGGGTAGATTAATGGTCGATTTGTTTGTTCTCGTAGTCTCGACTGTGTTTAGTTCCTAGATGCGAGGCAGCCTTTTCCTCTGGTGCCGGAGGTTGGGGATGGGATGGGGGCGGGGGTTGGGTGCTTTGGTGGGTGTTCGGTGTTGGGCTGTGGATTTGGTTGTTGAGGAAGCTGCGTTGACGGAGATTATTCTGGGTAATGTCGAACACTTGTGAGAACCGGACCGAGATGTGAGGTTTCGGAAGGGGTTTATGTGGATTGGGGATTGTCACTTGATGGCGTGAGGGAGGCAAGGTTTTGGAAGGGTCTTAAGGTTGCGCGGCAATCTCCGTAGATGCGATTATGCACGATTTATTTCATGACAAGTAACCAGCTAACCGCCATATCCTTTTTACAAGTATGTCTGCGGCTGTATGGCGGCAGGCTTCTCGCTGCGCCGCGTGGCGGCTGTGAATTGACAGTTAGTACATTTGATCGATGCGTTTCCCTGGTTCACGCTCATTGCCTTGCCTCATGGCGGTGCATGGTTTGCGTAGGATGCCCATGTGTATTTGTTTGCTGTTGCTACATTACATCCTGTAATAACTGGGGTCTCACTATCTTCTTCTTTTGTGGGAACTGCCAGCTTGGTGCCGTGACTCGTGACCATACCTTGTGCCGTCTGCAACAGGTTTAGTGGTTAGACGATGTTAACAAAACATAAAAGGGCAACCATCAAACATTGTAAATATTTAGTGTGAAGTAAATATGTACTTGTTCGGTCCCTAGGGCCGCTGAAGTTCTTAGCTCATCCCAAGGTCGAACATTGAAACTTACTTTTGCCCAAGCCCTTGCCATGTGGTCATCAAATACTCTATGGAGAATATTCGTAGTCCATCTTTCACCGAAGCACACATCTCGCTGGTCGATGTGTTGTCCACCCTAGTGGACTGGTGTGTATTGATCTCTTTTGTCGGTGACGAACCCTGACTTGCTTGGATTGTTCACAGAATTTTGTCCTGGTCTTTCTATTTTTGTGAACAATCTAATCCGAACTTTTCTTTCTGGGATGGGTACTTCAATCCATTCAGCCTTTTGGATTTATTGCTACTTGGTGGATTACTATTAGCAGCTTGTTTTTCCATTTTTTGTTGGGTTTAATTGAACCCCCATGTTAATGGTGTACATAGATGCCACATGCCAGAGATGTGAGGTTCTGCAAGGGTTTTAAGGAGATTCTGTGTGATGTTAGTAGATGCTATTATGCGCTTCGAGAAGTATGTTGTGGGCTGTCGCTGCGCTTTTGTGGTGATGTTGAATTGGCAGCTCATAATTTTTGATGTGTAAACAGTTCTCTGTTGGTGATGTTCATTATGAGTCATCGTTAAGGTAGGATGCTCTTAGGTCTCTTTGTTTTATTGTCAGCCTGTAATACTTGAAAATGAGTAGATAAAAATGCCTGGAGTTCTGCGCTATACTTATTTGTCTGCTTGTCATTGTTGTACTTGCAGTTAGAAACTTGAGGTCACATTGGGTGCCGCCTAGTAATGACATCCAATATGAGACCCCTTAACAGCAAAAAGGGTGAGGTCCCTTCCGATGGTCGTGAGAACTGTGGAGTTTCTGACCAAGCTTTTCATGGCAAATGTCAAAGCTGCGACGGTGTTGGAAAACCATCTTATCCTAGAGCGAATGGCGTTTCCCTGAAAGAAAGTGGAACATGCAGTTTTAGTTGTGATCATGCTAATGCTTTATTAGTAGATGGGCCCAAAGGTTCGCCAGCAAGGCCAGGACATATTGACAGCGCAGATTGTGGTCAGCATGGTTGTCTGCATGCCAAGAATGAAAGTTGCATGCCTTGCAATGATCTGCAGCAAGAGTCTGATAGAGAACAAGCTGGAGATACCCTGGATGATCTGTTTTTCTTTAATGATGAAGAGGATGATGATATTGACTGGGAACCTTCTGCTCGCCTGGCTGAAAACAGATGGTTTTGCTTGAACTGTACAATGCCAAACTTGGATGAGGTTAAACATTGTCTGGTAAGATCCTTTTGTTTTGTGATTAGTCGGGCCATATAGCTCATTACAAACTTTATCTGAGTATGTATTCAGTCACATGTTTGACATGTGCTTTCTTGGTTCTTCTGTCATACCATAGAATTGCCATGAGCTTAAGGGATCTGAGGTAGCTGCTGGATATGATGTTTTCAAAACTCACATTGCGCGGGCAGCTTTGGTATCTGCTAACACAGGTGCCGTTTCCACTCGTAGCTATGTTTTTCCGTTACTTCCTATCATCAAATATCAAATATCCGTTATGAATATAACTCATTTCAGTATTCCCTTCCACAAACTTAGCTGAGTACACCAATGGCATCTTAATAGAATTTGTAACTGTTTTTGCTACTAGACCATGGACGATCTGCTTTCCACACCAAAGTCTACAATCGACTTCCAAAATCTCCGTGTCCGAACCGAATCATTATCAACTTATTTAATAGAAACATCATTGACTAATAATGCCATTTGGAACATTTTAATGCAGCTGAAAACACTCCAGAAGATACAAAAATAAGAACTAGGATGGACTAGGGGTGTCTTGGTCTCAGCCCAAGCCTACCGTATATATTTTTTGGCTAGCCCAAATATTGGCTGAGGCTATAGTTCCCCATGTAGTGGCCAAAATCGGCAAGACAATAGATTGGGAGCGGCCATGCCAAAACTTGCCAGCTATCCAATCCCGGGCCAGGTAGAATCGAGCGCAATCCAAGCATACCCTAGGCTAATTTTCATTGCCTAGGAAATTCACCTTCCTCATACTTAGAATTACTATAAGGCTAGCTAAGTCTTACTGGAATAGCTTTAAAAAATATACCATGGAACACTTTCGAGTTTTGACTCCTTAATACATAATCAGACCAAGAAAGCAAAATCTAACAAAGCAAAAGGTCCCTACTAAACCTGATTTACCAAGACCAATGACAACTATGAAGTAGCATCGATAGACACAACTATACTCCTCTGAGTACAAAGCAAATAACAGTAAGACACATTTTATGATGTACTTCTTTTTGTGGACAAACGGTGACATCCAACGTTATACTGATTAACTTAGCAACATACTAATAATAGTCCTCTGTCACAACAATTTTTCAAGTTAGTATCCTTTGATTCATGGATCTGATTAATGACCCGTTTACACTAAAGAACAGCTGTTTGGTTCAATGCAAACAGAATACACTCCTTATCCCTATCCTATCTTTCCCAATATGTGGTTGACTGGCCAGCTGAATCCTCCTCCCCATGCTGTAAAAACTTACCTCTGAGTCTGAAGCCTCCTCTTCAATGTAGTAAAACTATCTTGGAGGAGATTCAGAAACATTGGAATGATGATAGAGAAGGAGTTGGAAAGGTGTGATGCTTATACCTTGACAGAGCGTATTCAAGCTTAGCACAGTAGTTTAGAGCAATTGACTGTATGCCACTGCATCAACTTTTCATGCGCCTATGTGTATTAACGTCTTCTTTTGGTCACACTGTTTATGCAGCATCGGTACTGGTATCTACAGCGATTGGTTTTGATGAAAGAATGTTGCTCCACAGTGAGGCAAGCTATGAACTTGTGATTTATGTAATTTGAGCTAGCGTACTGCATGATATAGTGTTCCCACGTCAAAGGTGACCACTCTTTATTGCTGTGAATAGCATGGATGATTGTCATAAATCTTTAAGTGCTCCTAATTGTGGTGTCAGTGAAACTTTTCATTTGATTGCTTCTTGTGTTTGTGAGATGCTTCTTCTGCAGCATGTTAAAGAAAGACGACAGAAACATATAATTATTAATTTTGTAATTATACAACTCGTTTCATTTTTATTTGAAGTGAGGCTAAAATAGTATGAAAATATTTCAAGATGGGATGTCAGTTTCTGTATTTCCGTCCATTTTGACCAAATGATGATTTATTTTCTTCAAACATATATACTTGTAATTATTTCACAAAACTAGCAGCAGTTCAGAAGATAGTTTTTGTGATGTCTTGTCTTTTTGGCCTCCTCTATTCTCTGTCAGAATGTACTGTCTGTAATTTTTTTATAACTGACATCTCATATTTCTATATCCTACCAGATGGAAATTAAACCAAATCCACATCCAGAAAGACCCAACCGTCTTCGTGCAATTGCTGCCAGTCTGGCTGCTGCAGGTGCACACTAGAGATTAGTGTAATTATTTACTACAGTGTTTCAGCTTTGTGTATTTCAGAAAAAAGCTGCAGAGAAACTCTTGCCTGCAAGTTCTGTGATTATTCTTATGCAAATATTCAATCAAGATCTTTATGATTTGATGATCCTCTGTTGAACTGTTCTCAGGCATATTATCGAATATAAACTAAATATATCAATCATATAATTCTAAACAACACAAAATTATTGATTGTTGATGTTGTGCTGCAGCAGTATAACAACTAACATGATTATCCTCCCACTCATATTAATTAAACTTGGTTGATGAACCAACCTTTCTATTCTACTGCTTACCAAGTAAACAATTACTATTATTTCCAATTTCAGGAATATTTCCCTCAAAGTGCGCCTTGGTACCTCCTCGAGAAATCACTAAGGAGGAACTCGTAATGGTAAGAGTCCAACAAGTGGTTTGAAAGATCCATTAGTTTTGCTGCCATGTTTTACTCCTGTATGCATTGTTCATTTCAGAGTCTTCTTGATAGTGCTCATATGTTTAAACTGTGGTAATTTAGGTCCATACTTCAGATCACGTCGAAAGTGTAGAGCAGACAAAGAACATGCTTTACAGGTATTACTTGTTTAGTTTGTGATTAGAACTATCATTGTGAGTATGGTCTTTAGTTTAGTTTTTACCTTTTGTTTTGATTATAATGGATACATGTTCAGCATGTACTGGCATTTTTATGTCTAGCATTTTTGGAAAGGTTTCATTGTTATAACATAATTCTGGGGATCAATCTGTAGTTACTTCACTTCGGATACTTACGCGAATGGACACTCGGCATGTGCTGCCAAACTTGCAGCAGGCCTATGCGCTGATCTTGCTAGTTTGATAGTGTCTGAGCATGTCCAGAACGGCTTTGCGCTGGTACTGTCTGATGATCTCATATATTCAGTTTTTCATCTCATTCATTATAATGCTCTTGATTATTATTTATCAATCCGCTTTGCATTTTTGTTGTACATGATGCTGACCTTGTGTTCTTTTCTACCTGAGAACAGGTGAGACCTCCTGGGCATCATGCTGGGGTAAAGCAAGCCATGGGATTTTGTCTTCACAACAATGCAGCAGTGGCTGCATTAGCTGCACAAAAAGCAGGCGCTAAGAAAGTCTTGATAGTTGACTGGGTAATGCTAGTCACAAGTTTGCATTTAAAATATGCACCATTAAATTTTGTTGGCGTGCACCAATTCTTTTTCTTGTACTATATCTATTTTATTGTAAATAGATACAAAAGTACGTTTACCATTCTCATCAGTAGCACTGTTAACTGTTATTGCAGGATGTGCACCATGGCAATGGCACACAGGAGATATTTGAAGGGAACAAATCAGTGAGTTCTCATCTTTATTTAGTTGCATTTTTAATTGCTCTATTTTCTTCCTTTCTGAGTGCATCTGTTTAATTACTGTATTTCCGTTTGCATGTGTTGCTACTACTATTGAGCTTACCAGTTTCCAAATTTGCAATTCTTATATGAATAACTTTTTATTCTTTAGGTTTTGTACATATCATTACATCGCCATGAGGATGGAAGCTTCTACCCTGGAACTGGAGCAGCAGACGAGGTGGCTATCTTTAAAGTGTTTGTAGTTTTGGCATAATTCACCAAAAGAACAACTGAATGGAACTAAGGCCTGAGCTGAAAATATGTATAAGGAAGGATGCACATGTAATTCATTACATCCCTCGGTACATGCCATAGACAGCCTTTTTCATCAGCACCACATGGGTCTTGAAAACTACTCCCTCCGTCCCATAATGTAAGACGTTTTTTGACTCTAGTGCAGTGTCAAAAAACGTCTTACATTATGGGACGGAGGGAGTAATTACCAGTGGAATCCAACTTTCCATCTCTGTTTGTATGAGATGGCCTGACAAGATTCAATGAACCCAAGAGCTTTGTGGACAATAGGGTATCAGGACCTGAGTTTGTATACTATTTCATACATTAGGTTACTATGTAGGATGATTCATATCTAGCATATATATAGTTCTTTTTTGCCCGTTTAAAAAAAAGAGTTCATTTTTGCTACTGTGCAACTGTACTGCATCCAATTGGACCCAACCATCCATTGTAACCAAGTTTCAATTGACAGTGACATAGTTCCTTTGCAATAAAGTTTGATCCAAGCTGTGAAAACTTGTATCTCATTTCTTGCACGTATATCACTGCAGGTGGGAGTTCTGGATGGTAAAGGATTCTCGGTAAATATACCTTGGAGCTGTGGTGGCGTTGGAGACAATGACTACATCTTTGCTTTTCAGCATGTGGTGCTTCCAATAGGTAATGATTAAAAGAGTAAATATTTAGTCTGCTTGAGTTTCTAATAGTAGAAATTTCACATCTCATGACATTCTCATTTTTTAGTTAGTAATTTCTTTGTCTTAACATGGCATTCTAGATCCTTAATAGAAATGATTGCTAAGATGTGTATTCACCATGATGGAATAAAAGACTTGTTTGTTAAATATGTCATGGTGCTATTTTTGTTTGAAAAAAAATGTCTGCCTACAACACCTTTTTTTTAGGGAAAACTTTGTTTTTGCCACTCTAGTTTTTGCCAACTTTGCTTATGCCACTCTAGAATTTGACATTTCACTTTTGCCACTCTTAGCTTTTGACAATACATCACTTTTGCCATTTCGTGGCAAAAACGATAATTTTAGAGTGGCAATTGTGATACATGTCAAAAGCTAAGAGTGGCAAAAGTGAAATGAAAAATTATCGTTTTTGCCACGAAATGGCAAAAGTGATGTATTGTCAAAAGCTAAGAGTGGCAAAAGTGAAATGTCAAATTCTAGAGTGGCATAAGCAAAGTTGGCAAAAACTAGAGTGGCAAAAACAAAGTTTTCCCTTTTTTTTAAGGATACAACACTTCATTTCATTTTCATGTTTCCATGGGCACCTCTTTATGTGATATCACCCCATTGTTTTTTTATTGATGTTTAAGTCTGCCCTGCACATTCTCAATTGGTGTTTTTCCTGTGCGAGTGCAGCTACAGAATTTGCCCCAGACATCACCATTATATCTGCAGGTTTTGATGCAGCAAGGGGTGATCCTTTGGGTTGTTGTGATGTAAGATTTCTCCTAATTTTAGTTATTGAATTCTAAAACATATTCCCTCTGTAAACTAATATAAGAGCGTTTAAATCATTACTTTAGTATTCTATAAACGCTCTTATATTAGTTTACGGAGGGAGTACATGTTATTCTTTATTTTGTGCGTGTCTTCTTTTAGACAACTGAGATGATTCTGGGCTAAAAGATTTTAGACTTATGCAGAAGACTTCTCTTGATCTCTTCTTAGAACATAGGCTTGACCTACTATATTCACATAATGTAGGAAAATTATGTGTTGCTTTGGCTTCCTCACTTGGAGAAGCTAGACTTTTAACTACATTGGTCATTTTGTACTTATTTGGGACCACATTGATCCACCAAACTTCATCAATAAATCTTAGGCTTATATACCATTGTTGCTTATTTAGGGAAGAGTTAACTGGCATGGATGTGAGATTTATTCAGTTTGTTTTATCATAATATCTGGTAGTTAGTACTAGAGCTTGCTCAAATGAGAATGATAAAGTTGCTTCTCAAAGTTGATTGATATTTCAGCTTTAACATTCAATCAAACTTTGGTATTATCCATTCATACTTATGTGCTATTTGGGTCCCTCAAAGTTTTAGGTGCTTTATTTTTCTTGTTGGCATGCCAATGAAGGCCAATGAAAGTTTTATATTCTGGGTAATGTTTATTTAACTTAATTATTTTTAGGTCACTCCTGCCGGATACTCTCAGATGACGTCCATGTTAACTGCTTGCTCAGAAGGAAAATTGTTGGTTATACTTGAGGGAGGGTAGGTACCCTTTTCTTATCTGAACTCATGGAGATAATAAAAGAAGACAGGACCTAGAATTTATATTTTTAAGCAGGATTTGTGATATGTAACTTGTACACTGTAAGCTGGACACCAAACCCCGTGTCACCATGGTGCTCATGGTTTTTTGTTGCATTCGTGCTTTGTATATGGCATGCGAAATTTCTAACATCACCAGAATGTGGATATGTGTTCATCTAATGCTAGTGTGGACAGATGTACTTCTTTTCCTAGATCTTTGCAATGGATCCAAACATTCTTATAATCTGTGTAGCCAATGTTCTTATAATTTTGTGCTGTTGTGGACACTAATATAACATCACAAGAGATGATTGCCTGTCTGTTGTGGAAACTTAGATGCATACCATTATGCTTGTATTTGAACTTTTGACATCACAAGAGATGATTCCCTGTCTGTTGTGGAAACTAAGATGCATACCATGATGCTTATATTTGAACTTTTGAGCCAGTGTTCTTATACATTTTTTCATTTTTATCAAATAAGAAAAATCTGGTATTATTTGTTATTGAAGCACACATCAACACTTATTCATTGTTTTCTTTGTCCTGTCATTAATGTACAGATACAATCTTCGGTCTATATCCTCATCTGCAACTGAAGTTGTCAAGGTATGTATTCTTCGAAATAAAAACTACTCCCTCCGTTCGGAAATACTTGACGTGGTTTTAGTTCAATTAATATTTCTTGTAAGGTGGGATTCGGATGTATAAATAACACGAACATGTTTGATTGGAATCAGCTGCTTCAGCATCATCCATTATCGTCGTAATTCATCAACAAACAAAACCTTTATGTATACATAAACATCAATAGTTGAAGAGCGCTACAGTTTCACATTTGGTTCAGTTATTGTTATTGTTAGCTTGACTAGAATGCAGAGATAGAAATGGGATTTGTATGATGAACTATGTGAATACTTGCTACAAAGATTATGGTTGTAGATACTCCATCTTTATCGTATTGCCATCCTTCATTTGTTGTGGAGTGCATGTATAAAAAAATACAAACAACTGCTGGTACTGTTACAGGCTTACAGCTGAGAGAGATTTATGATTACACTGTTAGTGTAACCTGATGATGCTTTAACGTATTTAGGTCCTACTCGGGGACGGTCCAAGTTATGGCACAGATGCAGCAGCACCATCAAAGGAGGGCATGCAGACTGTCTTACAAGTTCTGGACATTCAGCAAAAATATTGGCCAGTTTTAGTTCCAATCTTTGCATCACTTCAGGCGCAGCAGGGGCCGACTTCTTCCAAATATGGTAAGGACAATACAACCAACAATGAATTTACATTTTTGCTCTCCAACACAAGTCTAGTATTGATTTCTAGCCAGCCTTCTAGAATCATGGGGCATGCTGGTTGTTTTGGTTTTGATAACCAGATGTTTGTGATTTCAACTCCCAGATTAGTTTATTACATGCCATAAGAAGCTATCTGAGGATTAATAGACCACCTTGCTCTTGTCTAGTTAACGCTGAAAACAAGCTGAAGAGAAGGATGCTTACGGGAGGACCAGGGCCTGTGTGGTGGAAATGGGGAAGCAAGAGGCTTTTGTACGAAGTACTGTTTGAGGGCCGTCGTCCTAGAAAGAGCAGGGCGAAAGGAGAATGAAGCTCTGGCTGATGAAACAAAACCCTAGGTTGTTTTAGTTAGTGATGCTGAAGCCGCCTAACTGACTCTGGTCAGTATAGTTGACATGGATAGTGTAGCTGGCTGTTTGGTGTTCGGAAAGAAGATTACCTTAGCTTGCGTACACCGAGCTGATTTTTTGACTGAACTGAACTGTGGCCGTTGTCATTGTTGGTTGCCGACAGAGTTTCACAGGCAGCAATCCTGTTGTGTAGACATGTTTTTGGTGTTGTAGCAATGCATGAAATTAGCCATCAGCCGTCCATGGTATGATGATCCTGTAGCAGCTTGAGTTTTGGGTTCATAGCCAATGCTAGCATTTGGCAATCTGGATCTCTGACCCTGACATTGGCGAGGTAGCCTGATTGGAATAGGATACACCATTTCAGACTTTAGGAATAAGAGCACTGGTGCCTAGTGCAGAGCATACACGAGATAGGATACGCATGAGTTGCTTGTTTAGAATCTATAAACATTGCGTTTGGTTCATGCTTTTGTAACAGCACTCGATAACAGCGGTAATAGATAGCGTTGAATCGTGTTTGTTTAGATTGCTCTGTAATTAGATAATGCCGTAATCTGATCCCATCCTACTCAAAACTGATTCCCCTCAATCTCCTGCGTAAGCATACGATACAGCCGTCTCTCTCTGCTCTCACATCGACCTTGGTCGCTCCTTTGCACGAAACTCATCGAGCCCCTCATCAGTCTCAGCAGCCCGGACTGGACAACCCGGTCGCCGACGCTACATTGCCCCTCATCAGATCGACCTGTCCCGTCGCCACCGTCCCCGAGTCCCCCTCTGGCGACCACCACCAATACAAGCAAGCCGCCTCCGGCAGCCAGCAACATGATCGGACCCTCAGCTACCTTGACATGACTTCTATGTGAAGCACATCTTACCAGGTCCCTGTATTGATTACCGACACATTTGAGCAACCAAACAGTTCTCGTTTTTTGTCGACACTGTTTACACTAAGGGCATCTACAATGGTTCTATCTTAACAATGCCACGTAGGATAAATGGTGAGGTGGAGAAAAAAGAACTTATAAAAAAAGGCTTGTCTTATCTTATTTAAGAGAAGATAAGAGATGATCTCTTAATACAATATGTCTCATCATATTTTTAGGAATAGCTAGTTATTGAAGATAAAGCTAAGAGATGACCCATTGTAGACATGTTTTTTTCTCATCTCTAATTTACATGTAAAATTTAAAATAAAACTATCTTATCAATCATTGTACATGTCCTTAGTGTCACCTGATTGCGTTTATGTTTACATTTCCTTTTCTGAACCAAACAGCTACTCAGCTCACACCTTTTTGTAGCCACGTTGCTAGCACATCACCAGGCGACGTGCACGCAACCTGAATCACATGGGGCTTGGGACGAAGCTAGAAAAAAAAGCTTGATGGGGTCATATCCATGGCAATGGGGTTATCTTCTATAAATCAACAGTGATTAGTACCAAGTTAATGAAGGATTTAGTAATTTCATTAGGGTCAATTGACCCCAATGCCTACATGCCAGCTCCTTCCCTCCATGAGGCTGCGTGCGATGTCGATCCCTAATCTTTATCTGAATAGTCTTTGAATTCCCGAATCTGTATTTGTTCTTCCCCTTTCTCAAGTCTTCTCCCCTAGACTTAAATTCTCCATTGTATCCCAATTTATCCTACCTATATAACTGATTCGTGATTCCTGATTGAGCTCGGGACATTACATCGGGCTGCGTGCGCTGGCGAACCCATAATCACGATTCAGCTATGTAGGTAAAATAAATTGGGATACAATGAAGAATTTGAGTCTAGAGGAGGAGACTTGGGAAAGGGGAAGAACACATACAGATTGGGGGAATTCAGAGACTATTCATTTCAAATCTGAACTAGCAGAATGCACCACAGTATCCTTTTTCTTTTTCTTTTGAGAGAAACACACTACAATATCTAATATATCGTTGGTCTACACTATCGCTTATATGGCCTGTAGCCCAACTGAGGGTCAGTTCTTTTGGGCAATTCTCTCAGAATTGACCCCCTCCCCAGCTTCTCCTAGAATTGCCACTCCATTTTTTTTACAATTCCTAGCTAGTTAAGGTATAATTAGCTAGGAATTGTAAAAAAAGATAGAGTGACAATTCTGGGAGAATTGCCCAAAAGAACTAGCCCTGAGACAGTTCTCTGGCCCAGTTCAATTCGAACATTTAAACCTCGCGCGCCATGTCAGCAGTTTCTTCGCGCTTCCTTCTCCTTTGCTTTTGTCGTCAGTGGTGTACTGGTGACAATGCCCCTCCTTTGAGAACCAGCATGTCCCCATGCTGGTGCCGTTGGATATCGGCGTCGTAACACTTCATAATCTTCCCATGTTGTAGCTTTTGGTGGCACACCCGACCACTTGATCAGTACCTGAATATGCGCACCATTACTTTTCTTGACCATCCTGCGATCAAGGATTTTCTTTGGGCACATATTCAGGGATGAGAGGTCCACATGAGCTGGCAGTTGAGAAAAAACTGGAGTATGATCAGGTATATGAGGTTTGAGCCATGACATATGGAACATTGGGTGGATGAGAGCTTCAATAGGCAGATGGAGTTTGTAAGCTGCAGGTCCAAATAGTGTCCAAGATCTCAAAAGGTCCATAATATTTGTAACCCAACTTGGCACATGGTGGTTTGACCACCAAATGTTGATAATAAGGTTGTAATTTGAGGTAAACTGCATTACCCATTGTGAAAGAGTGAGCACTTCTGTTCAACATATAGTTTGATTTTGTAAGTGAGCATTCAGGTGAGTTAAATGGGTCTGATACTCACACAACCACTGCTCAACATCAACATGGTCAGATTCTAGCCGAGAATAAAAGAACCCATAGCTTGGATTGTACCCATAGAGAGCCTTAAATGGTGAGCAACCAAGAGATGTGTGGTAGTTAGTGTTATACCAAAACTCGGCCAATGGTAACCACGAATGCCGTTTGGTAGGAGTATCATGCACAAAACATCTTAATTACATCTATAAGCACTAATTAACTCTCTCACTTTGACCATCTGTCCGAGGATGGTAGGCTGTGCTCATATCGAGTTTGGTGTCCCGTAACTTGAACAAATCTTTCCAAAGTTGCTAGTAAAGATATTGTCTCTATCCGACACAATGGTATTGGATGGACCATGTAACTTAAAAATCAGTTTCCAAGAATGCTTTGGCCGCTTCAGGAGTAGAGAATTGATGCTTGAGAGAGATAAAGTGTGCACATTTGGTGTACCTGAACCACCACCAATATCAATATGTATCCATTTGTTTTGGGCAAAGCCTCAATAAAATCCATGGTTATTTCTTGCTAAGGTCCTTCAGGAATAGGTAAAGGATTGAATAGTCCTAGGTATTTGCAATGTTCATGCTTTTACTTTTGACATACATCAAATTCAGTCACATACTGTTTTAAGCCAGACCAGGCAAACAACTTCTGCACCTTCTGGTAAGTTGCTCGAATGCTTGAATGACCTCCCATAATGCTGACATGGAATGCATAATCAACTTAGATTTTAGGGCAACATCGGCACCAATCCAAAATCTATCCCGTTGCTTTATTATACCCTACTGAAGAGAATATCCCTCTATACTGTCAGAAGCTAAGCCCAGTTTCTGTAGCATTGTATGAGCCCCAGGACCCATTGTATAAGAGTTAGTAACTTCTTGGAGGCATATTGGTTGACTTGGAGAAGTGAATGTCTCTGCCAATAAGCGTCCAACTCTTGATAAAGCATATGCTACAATATTTTTGCTTCGTTTCTTATATTGAAATTGAATCTTCAATCCTACTAACTTGGTCATAGCTTTTCTCTATAAATCAGAGGTTAACACTTTGTATTGAAGAGAGAGATCCACATGCAAAAATCTTGAAGGAAGGATTGACTGAAGGAAGGAAGGTACTATAGCAAAAGCCGAAGATCACCTAGTTGACATAAGCTTTGGTGATCAGTCTTAATCACACATGGACCTCTTTGCAAGTAAGCTCTTCACTTCTCCACAACCATCATGATGGCCATAAATTATTTCTCATATATAGATAGTTGTGTTCTTCATCCCTTGAACTTGATGTCTACTATGCAACCTTCTTCTTGTAGATGTTGTTGGGCCTCCAAGTGTCGAGGTTTGTAGGACAATAGCAAATTTCACTCAAGTGGATGACCTAAGGTTTATCAATCTATGGGAGGCGTAGGATGAAGATGGTCTCTCTCAGACAACCCTGCAACCAAATAACAAAGAGTCTCTTGTGTCCCCAACACACCCAATACAATGGTAAATTGTATAGGTGCACTAGTTCGGCGAAGAGATGGTGATAAAAGTGCAATATGGATGGTAGATATAGGTTTTTGTAATCTGAAAATATAAAAACAACAAGGTAGCAATTAACAAAAGTGAGCAAAAACGGTATTGCAATGCTAGGAAAGAAGGCCTAGGGTTCATACTTTCACTAGTGCAAGTACTCTCAACAATAATAACATAATTGGATCATATAACTATCCCTCAACATGCAACAAAGAGTCACTCCAAAGTCACTAATAGAGGAGAACAAACGAAGAGATTATTGTAGGGTACGAAACCACCTCAAAGTTATTCTTTCCGATCAATCCATTGGGCTATCCCTATAAGTGTCACAAATAACCCTAGAGTTCATAGTAAAATAACACCTTAAGACACACATCAACCAAAACCCGAATGTCACCTAGATATTCCAATGTCACCACAAGTATCCGCGGGTTTGATTATACAATATGCATCACACAATCTCAGATTCATCTATTCAAACCAACACAAAGAACTTCAAAGAGTGCCCCAAAGTTTCTACCAGAGAGTCAAGACGAAAATGTGTGCCAACCCCTATGCATAAGTTCACAAGGTCACGGAACCCGCAAGTTGATCACCAAAACATACATCAAGTGAATCAATAGAATACCCCATTGTCACCACAGGTATCCCACGCAAGACATACATCAAGTGTTCTCAAATCCTTAAAGACTCAATCCGATAAGATAACTTCAAAGGGAAAACTCAATCCATTACAAGAAGGTAGAGGGGGAGAAACATCATAAGATCCAACTATAATAGCAAAGCTCGCGATACATCAAGATCGTGCCAAATCAAGAACACGAGAGAGAGAGAGAGAGAGAGAGATGTCAAACACATAGCTACTGGTACATACCCTCAGCCCCGAGGGTCAACTACTCCTTCCTCATCATGGAGAGCGCCGAGATGATGAAGATGGCCACTAGTGATGGATCCCCCCTCCGGCAGGGTGCCAGAACAGGGTCCCGATTGGTTTTTCGTGGCCATAGTGGCTTGCGGCGGCGGAACTCCTGATCTAGGTTTCTTTTCAGGGTTTCTGTATTTATAGGAGTTTTTGGCATCGGGAACAAGCCAGGGGGGGTCTCCGAGTCATCCACGAGGTAGGGGGCGCGCCCAGGGGGGTAGGGGTTGCCCTCCACCCTCATGGATGGCTCGGGACTCTTGTGGCCCAACTCTTTTGCTTCAGGGGCTTCTTCTGGTCCATAAAAAATCCACAAAAATTGGCAGGTCAATTGGACTCCATTTGGTATTCCTTTTCAGTAAGACTCAAAAACAAGGAAAAAACAGAAACTGGCACTGGGCTCTAGATTAGTAGGTTAGTCCCAAAAATCATATAAAATAGCATATAAATGCATATAAAACATCCAAGATGGATAATATAATAACATGGAACAATAAAAAATTATAGATATGTTGGAGACGTATCAAGCATCCCCAAGCTTAATTCCTGCTCGTCCTCGAGTAGGTAAATGATAAAAACAGTATTTTTGATGTGGAATGCTACC